ACCCAACGAAACAACTAATGCTTCAAATGTGATGAAAACCACTAAGCTTGAGATTGTCCAATAAGCTAACAACATCTAGCTACCAATCATGGTGTATATATTGAAGAAGATAATGCAGGGCAAGCCAAGATAATGAAAGATTCTACTGTAGGATATTTTAATCTGAATGCCGAAGAAGAAGATACTTTTAGGACATCCAAACTGCATTAGGGCCTTAGGAAAAAAGAAAAAAAAAAGTGAAAGAAAGAAAGAGAGCGAAAAAAAGAAAAAAGAGAAGAAAAGTGAAAAAAAAGAGTGACAAAAAGAGATGACATGTGGCACTTTTGATATTTGACACTTGGCACAAAATTAATTGTGAAAGTGACTAGCAGACAGGGACTTTGTTGATCCTGCAATACTCTAGATGACAAATCCTTATATGCGGAAAAATCATGATTTTGCAAGGGTTGTTGGAAAAATGTGAGATCCTTTTTAAGGATCTTACTGCAATTTGCATACACCCACCTGGGGAATTATATTTAGAACTTGGCTAGTAGTTATGGGGCTATTGATTAGTGGTTCTATGCAATAGTTATGAAAGCTTTGGGATGGAGAAGGCAAGCCTATGTAAGGTAGTGGTTGTTTTTATGGGAGGATGCTTATGAAAGAGCTATGACAAGAGATTCTTTTGACTATGCAATTTTAACACTAAGAATGTGCCAAGATGTCTCACAACAGGTAGCAAAGGAGATTGTTAATTGGTTAAAGCTCCTCAATTAGTGGTTTTCCCAGTTGTGGGGGAACATAGGACATGCTAGGATTTTGATATAGGAGGTGTGGGAAATGGATGAGGATTGCCCTTTGACATGCATATATGAGACTTGGATGCTAGTGGAAGCATCTTGTGCACGAAGATGAGGTGCTAGAAAGATGTCATCTCTAAGTTACTTGTGGAAAGCGGGCAGCTAAAAACTGTCTCGACTAGGTAGAGGCTCATGATAAAGCTTGCTTGCATGCATGCATTAGTGAGTTGGAGCAATAGTTCAAGGCCTTAGCAGTTCAATTGAGGGAATCTTAGGAGGTTAAGTAGGAGATTGAGTAGATGTTCATTGTAGAGCGTCAAATTAAGCTACTAGTGGAGGAAACATAGGAGTTTGAGAGGCAAATATTAGAGACAAAAATGCTTCTCAAGGTATTTATGTGCAACTTAATAAGGGATCATGTCCAAGTAACAAGAGCTAGAGATGCAATTCAGAAGGAGAATCCTTTGGAGGTGGTTTCCTATGAACCAGTGCTATGGGTTTGAGGTTAGTGTAGCAATGGAGATTCCAGAGGGGAATCTTCCTAACAAGACTTTATATCACAAGATTAGAGGTGTGCTAGTGGAGATTCCAGAAGGGAATCCACCAATATGTAAAGATGCAAATGAAATTTGCATCTTGGTCAAGGGTAAGAGTCCTAAAAATCTCGGAGCTAGAGAATAAAAGTAAAAAGTAACAAGGAGTGAGGGTTAGGCCAAACCTCCCCTTAGGATTCTGCATTTAACAACATTTCTTAGAGTATGCTCTAGAGTAGAGAGTGTTTTGTTTCTTATGAGCATTTTGAGTATGGCTTGGATTGGAATGTGTTCACATTTGTTTTGTGGATGTAGGTTTTTTTATTTGAACAGCTGTTGTACTTGTTTGCTCCACTCCTGCTCCACATGGTCATTAGAGGATCTATCCCTACAGACTCTAGATTCGATGGCCTGTCTACTTGGTAAGTGTGTTTTTATTAGTGTCCCGAGTACTTTAGAGTGAGTGTGTTTAGAGATCATATTTTGGCATCTACAATGTGTTGCAAGGCTGGGTCACGTGCACACACTTCTTTCGCATCATGAGGCTGCCACTGGCAAGTAAAGAGCGACTAGACTGTGTCAATGAAAGATTAAGGAAGCATCATCAGGTTGATATGTCAAATATTCCATGCTATATGGCTTGAGTGGCAAGTTTATTCATTGCACCCTTCTAGAGCGGTATATGTGTGTTTAGGACCAAGGGTTCTAGTCTATACTTCCTGCAAAGCTTTGTTCTGGTCAGCACAATGCTTCTACAGCCAAGCCAGATTGTTAATTCCTATGTTTCAATGAAGGTCATGACAATTACAGGAGTGGGTGTTCAATCTTTGTAGAGTTAAAACTCAAATAACACTTAATGAGCAAGTACAGAGAACCATGGACTCAAGCCTCCTTTCTCTAATATTAATTATCACAACCATCTGGAACTTCATCTTCCTTAGCACCAACATCATTCTAATGTTACTTTTTATTATACCTAGGGCATTTTTTTGTATTTTCTCTCCTGCAAATCCATTAATTAATCACATTTAGTTAATTTTTTTGTAGAGGACATCAGAATTTCTTTTGGTTGGGGACTAACTATCAACATGAGTTTGGTGTTGAGTTCAGGAACAGGAATGGAGTGCAGCAAATGTGGACATGGTGATCTTGACATTGGCCACCAGCATTCACTCCTTGATGAGCGGTCACAAGGGAATGACCAGCAATCTTTGCTGCCCTGATTCTCCAGCTCTAGGACTTCTCTCGTCCATTTCTTGTGGAGACTGATGCATCAGATGCAAGCACGGGGGCGGTGCTCAGACAGGAGCAAGGGATCATAGCGTTTGAGAGTTGGTGCATTTCAGTACATGGCTTATGAGCAAGAAATGCTTGCGGTCATCCACACTATCGAGAAGTGGCATCATGATCTCTTGCCGACTCGTTTCACGCTCTGCACAGACCATTACAGTATCAAATTTTTGCTGGAACAACAGCAGCTCAACATCGGGACGTTTGTTTTGCCCGGTCGAAATTCGATGGATAAATCAAAAGCTTGAAGCTTTTCAATCCAGCGCCTCTGTTTCTTGCACTGTCTTGCATGTTCGAGAAGCCAGTGTCCCAGCTTCTTACAGGGATATCACGTCGTTCAGCAGCGGGTCGTCAGTACCGAGCTCCCTTCGCGTCAATTTCCATCTCAGGATTGCCAAGATCTATATATGGTGCTCTTCACGAAGGTCAGCCACTTCGTCCCATTAACGACCACAGCAAACGCTCAGAAGGTGGCAGAGCTTTTCTGGAAGGGGATAGTCCGCTACCGGGAGATTATCTCTGACAGGGACTCCAAGTTCCTCGGCAAGTTCTGGAGATTGTTGTTTGAGGCCGTGGGGACAAGGTTGAGTTTTAGGCTATCACCCTCAAACTAACAGATAGACTTAGAGGGTGAATCACACAATGGAAACGTTCCTTCGTGGATATTTTTTGGACAGACCGGGCAATTGGGTGAAATGGCGAGTTTGCTTACAACTCCATGCAACATGCTTCCCTGGGAATGTCTGCGGCAACGTGGTGTCGACCTCTGTCCACGGTAACAAGACTGGCCAACCATATAACGCCTCGAAAGGAGGATGTAGAGGAGCATCTCTGAGAAGTGGAAGAAGCATGGCAAAGCAAAGGCTTGGGTCGGCAGAAACTACCATGTGGTTCTTTGTGGACCAAAATCGATCATACAAGTAATTTGAGCCAAGAGACTACATTTATGTCAAGTTCTGCCTGGAACGTTACACCCTGGGCAAGCTTAAGGAAGAGCCAAGTTGCAACCCCGCTTCTTCGGTCCTTTCAGGGTGGTGAAAGCAATTAATGAATTGACCTACAGATTGCATCTCGCAACAACAGCAAGGATCCATGATGTGTTCCACTTGAGTGACCTCAGCGTCATCACAGGGAGTTGCCTTCAATCCAAATGCCGGATCAGGGAAGAACAGGTCCTCTTGTTCCGGATAGGGCAGTGAAGTCCAGGAATACAGAGCGCAATCTGGAGGACCAAAGTTCTTTGAGCAAGAATGGCCTGTTAGGGACCGAGTCTGACTATGCTACAGCGGATGGTTATATGGAGAGTAAAGCAGATTTGATTCTCTATACTCTCCTCTCCATCTTGTCCACCTTCTTCTCTCCAGTCTCACTCTGCTTGCTTGGTTAGTCTCTTTTGTTGTCCAAGGAGCATTTCCTCCCTTCTCATTCCTCTTCTTTGAATATAGCTGTGCAACTCCCACTTTTTTTGACTGAAAGTTGTTTATGATAGAGCATCCACGCCGTCTTCCAGGCCACGTGGCAAAATATTCACTGGTGACATGGCCAGTCAGAGAGAGTTTGACGGAGGCTGCATAGAAACAGAAAGCAAGTCGTTTTGCTCAGAATGGAGCTCTCACTCCATCCATGTGTTCTCGCTTCGAATAGATGCCACTGCCATTGTATAAAAACAGAGACCCACTGCCTCCTCCAACACCTCGCTTCCTGATCTTCTCAAACAGCAATGCCCAAGCTTGTGCTTATCCTGTTCTTCCTTGTGGCCGCTGCGGCGCAGTGGAGAATCTCCATCGCCCAGCAGCAGTCCTGCAGCGACTGGACTCAGCTCCTGGATTGCCAGAACGCGGCCAGCGATCCAAGCGCCACCCCGTCTGGCGAGTGCTGCAACAGAATCCGGCAGTACCAAAACGCACCGGACTGCCTGTGCACCATGCTCCTCGCGGCACGCAACGCAGCGCAGTCCACCGGGTTGCCATTCAATCTCCAGGCCGCGCTCTCCATCCCGGCCAAGTGCCACGTCCAAGTTCCATCCGGCTACTCGTGCGCTGGAATTCCCATTCCATCTAGCTAGAAGAACAGAAAAAAAAAAAAAGAGAGTTAGCTAAGCATCGCTAGAGAGCAATCTAGGAAAAGAAAATTATGGAAGAGCTTCTAGAGAGCAAGAGAGAGAGGGAAGGGAAGAAATCCGTGTGTAGTGCTATGACTGTGACCAGAGAAAAGAGAGGGAGAGAGAACAAATTCATGCAATAAGATAACTTGACTTGCCTGTGCCATGATCGTCGCCTTTCTTGTGACGCCGAGAAAAGCAGTACCTTATTCACGGGATGGTGTACTCATCGCGATTTCCTCGCACCGATCTATGCCAGAAGCCCTCTCCATGTCGATCAGTATAAGAGCGAGCCTCTAGGCAGTGAGATCCATCGGGCAGCTCTTCTCTCGATCCCCATTCTTGAATCTCCCCTTCCCTCTCTCCTCTCCTCTAGCAATATTTCGAGCATCGATCGAGCAATGGCGCCGCCTCGATCCGGAATCGCGATCCTGCTCATTGCAATCCTGTGCATCGCGCTCCTCCCGGCAGATTCCAGCGCCCAATCCTGCACGAATTACCTCGCCCTGGCGAGCTGCATCCCCGCCGCGGTCGGCAACACCGCTCCGACCGCGAGTTGCTGCTCGCTGATCCAGAAATACGTGAAGAAGCCGGCATGTCTGTGCACGCTCGTCCAGAGCGCCAAGAAAGCCATCCCTAGTATCAACATAGCCAAGGCGGTGATCCTCCCCAAGAAATGTAACTTCGGGAAATACGTGCCCAAGAACTACAAGTGTGCTGGTAGGCGAATTCTCTTCCTTCTCTCTCCAAATCGATGGCTCACCGTGCTCGATCTTGGCAGGGGTTTCGGTTCCCCGCGAATAAGGAATGGCGATCTTCACCGTTCATCCCGACCACCATTCCGCTCCATAATAGTCCACCAGATGTGGAATGTACTACGCCCTCGCTTTGCTAATACAAACCTCTCGTTTGCCCTATATTTTCTTCCTTGAGAGCGCTCCAGCTATGGCGTCGAGTGCCGCCGCGGCCAATCCCGGGGTTTTCAGTGGCGTAAGGACGATTCGATCGTGGAAGCGCCACGGCGAGCGCTTCTTGCACAGGAAGCCGAGTAGGAAGGTGTGCGTGGTCCAGATCGAGAGCAAAAAGAGGGAGCCGAGGCAATTCTGGATGTCCAGGGATCGATTGGCGCCAGGTATGTGATGAAAGATCGCTCGCGTATTGCAAGGAATTCCTAGTGATTTTCCATTTGCTCGGTGTGGATGGAAGTTTGAAATTTCTGAGCTTGATCATATGTGGTTGTATTTTTCTGATGCTTTGGATGAGCTTTTAAGCACGTTGAATGCGAATGAGTGACTAGCCCTGGATGAAACTTTCAAGCACGATATGAATTTATGCGAATGGAATGGACTGTAGTGATTTCTCTGGTCTCATGAGCTTGGTCTCATGTGTTGTTTACATCCATTGCTCTCAAGCAGCGACTTTGCTGGCGGACTTCCAGATCCAGCCAGAAAGTGTTGGTTTCCTTACAAGGACGAGTTTAACCTGGACGAGCAAACACGCATCAGCAGCGAGATGGTGATCGGAACCTTGGATCCCATGTTTGCGGCCGATCGCAAGCAAAAGTTTGATCAGATCATCGCCAACAGGACGTTTTCGATTTGTCCGGTGGTCGAAGGCTTGTTCGACATTGGCAACATCTGTGCCGTGTTTAGAACCGCCGAGGCATTTGGACTCCAGTCGGTACATGTGATCGCTAACAGCGATCAGAAAAGGTGAGTTTCTCTCTGTTATTTTCTTTCTTTGTTCTCACGCGTGTTTTATTCTTGTAGATACAAAGAAGCTCGCAACATAAGCATGGGTGCCGAGAAATGGCTGGATGTTGAAGTGTGGGAGAACACAAACGAGTGTGTACAAGTGTTACGGAAGCGAGGATATCGGATTGCTGTGACTGACATGGGGGCGGACACGGTAAGCTTGAGAAAGCTCGTCAATCTATTCTATACGTTTTAACAGGTACCTATACACGAGCTGGACTGGACGATTCCAACAGCAGTGATCTTTGGAAACGAGCACAAGTATGGAAAGAAAGTGGTATTTGTTTTTCTTTCTTAATCGGTGAACGTTTTTGAGCAGTGGAACAAGCGAAGAAGCTCTTGCATTGGCGGATGTGAAGTGCCATATTCCGATGGTAGGAATGGTCGACTCATTTAACGTCTCTGTTGCGGCGGGGATCCTCATGTATCACGTCGTGGGCGACCGGCTTGAAAGAACTGTAAGTGGTTCCAAACTAGCTTTTGCTTGCATCGGTCTTACAGCTCTTGCAGGGAATTCACGGCGATTTGAGCTCCGAGGAGCAGCAAATCCTTCGTGCCGAGTTCTACCTTCGAAACAAGCGCAACGTGAAGGATGTGGTGAACCACCTGCTTAAGAAAGAGCTCGTCTTGACTTAACACATCCGAAAGGGATGCCAATTCATTCAGGGAAAACAGTGAATACAAAACAAAATGGAAACTTTGCTCAATACTTGCATACCTATACCGTGTAGTTTTGCTGGACTGCGAGATCATCCAGACCTTTCAACTTAGCGACTGCTTCGACATGCGCTTTAACCACGTGAAGGTCTTTCAATCTGTCACAGACAAAAAGATCAGTGAACTTAAAGATAACTTTAAAGCTACACGAGAAGAGCATATAACTTAAGGAAACAAAGAAACAAAGCACGAGAGGAAAACCAACCTCGCAATCTCGGCTCTCTTCATGGCTTTTTCCGCAAGATCGGCAGGCCCAGCAACACCAGCAGCCCCTGACTGAGATAGCCTTTGCGTCATTGGAGCCGCGGCATGGCCAGATATAACAGCCCATTGAGCTTGCCGCGCCTCACGGCCATAGTTCTTCTGACGAGTGAAAGCGATCTTCCTCTCCGTGAGAAGGTCCCACATTGCTCCACTCAAGATGTATCTCACCAAAAACTTGATAAGATCCAAAGGGAAGTACCAGACGACGCTGCAAAGCAATGAGACGAAGTTAGACACGAAGAAAACAAGGAAGAACTACGCTTGCGAGCTTTACCTGTACAACCATACCACTCCGGCCCAGCCCCAGCCGCAGCCTTTGATTCCTGCAAATCCCCAGTCGGCATAAACTGCGATCAGCGTCGCCACCAGCTGAGCAACAAGGAAGGCGACGATCAGCATCGCCCCGGGTCTCTCCAAAAACGAGAAGCTCCGCGACCGAGTGACGAAGATGAGTGCCTGACTGATCACGCTGACTTGCAGATAGATCACAGCGGTTTCCTGTTTGACGTGGCCCGAGATCAACCTCACCGAGAAGTGGTCTTGGAAGAAGTTCGTCTCGTGTATGAGCCAGTAGAAAAGGACGGACATCAGTCCGAGGTAGGTCCCGAGGCACGAACCGAGCACAAACAACTCCGGGAGCTTCCAACTGTCTGGTTCCATGGATGGTTTCACTCTATCCTGCAAAAAAGTGAAGTTAGACCGAGCAACAGAGTCCAGCACGGGGATTAATTACCTTGCGACATTATTAGCTTGGAATTAACGGGTGGAGCGATTCCAGAACGTACTTTCGAGATTGTCATGATGGTGCCGTCGTTGAGGATGGCTATGATAAGCGTCATGAACGGGGAAAACTTGAACTTCCAGATCAGCGCCATGAGCAAGAAACCGAGGACGATACGAATGGTGATTGAGATGGCGTAGATGGTGTAGTTCTTCATGCGCTGGAAGATGCAGCGGGACGTCAAGATAGCATGGATGATGACGCTCAAGCCTGCAAGCCACATTTTGTTAACAAAGGATCGAAAGAAGAAAAACAAAGAACTTACCAGGGAGTGTCAAGACAATATCAGCGGCGTTACGAGCAGCATCCGTCGCGTCGGCAACAGCAATCCCGATATCAGCTCTTTTCAGAGCAGGAGCATCGTTCACTCCATCGCCTGTCATGCCGCAGATGTGTTTTGCTTCCTGTAACTTCTTGACGATGTTATACTTGTGCTCTGGAAAGACCCCTGCAAACCCGTCTGCGTGCTCTATGAGCTCCCCTTCGTCCGCACTGGCCAAGCTTGGGTCACGTCCAGCCCCGCCGGGAAATAATGCAGTGACTGGATACATGTTGGTTCCCATGCCCAGCCTTCTCCCAGTTTCTTTGGCAATAGCTAGCTGATCTCCGGTTATCATCTTCACGTTCACTCCAAGCTCTAGAGCTCGCTTCACTGTGTCTGCGGTATCGTGGCGGGGCGGATCGAAGAGTGGAACGAGGCCCAGCATGTCCCAGTCGCCACCTGGACTATCCTTATCGTTGTCTGGAACAGTCTGCTAAAGACGGTGTTAAAAGGTGGTGGATTTGTGAGAACTATCAGCGTACCTGCGTCGCCACAGCCAGAGTTCTCAAGCCCCTCTCCGCGAACTTCTCAATGATATCATGCACCCGGCGTCCAATTTGTTCTTTGTTGTAGGCCAAGTCGAGAATCTGCTCGGGAGCACCCTTGGATGCACGATGCATTTGCCCTTGCGTGTCCAGGTAAGTCATTTGAGTACGCTTATCAGTTGGATTGAATGGCATGAAGTGTATCTCTTGAATTCCTTCCCTTGCTTCTTTTGGATCTCCAAGCATGTTTACAATGGCGAGGTCGATAGCATCCTGCAAAACAGCATCTTTATAGCACCCTGAAAACTTCTAATCCGAGTATAAGTTACCTGGTTCTCCACGCGAGAAGCTCTCGACGCATGAAGTAAGATCGTATCTTTGTCCGCCTTATCCGAAAAGATCTCTATGAGATTCTTGTCAACTGTAAGCCTGTTCAACGTCAGAGTTCCTGTTTTGTCCGAGCACAAGATATCCATCCCCGCCATCTCTTCAATAGCCGTCATCCTTTTAACTATCGCTCCCTGCTTAGCCAGCCCGTGGGATCCTACAGCCATTGTGATGGAGAGCACAGTTGGCATGGCGATCGGTATCCCTCCTATTAGCAGAACCAGCAGCGCATCGATTCCATCCCTGTACTTCCAGTGCTGGCACGGGTACATGACTATAATCTCGATGATCATCCCCAGCGCTATCGAGACGATGCAAAAGCTTCCAATTCTCGTAAGAACCTTTTGAAAGTGTCCCATTCGCTGAGTGCTGTCTACGAGGTGTGCTGCTTTCCCAAAAAACGTGCTCACACCAGTTGCAATCACCACTGCTTCGATCTCCCCCTGCTTACAAATGGAACCCGAGAAAACTTCGTCACCTTGTCTCTTGGTCACTGCCACGGATTCACCTGTGAGAGCGGACTGATCGATCGAAAGAGGGTCTCCTTCCAGCAGGCGGCAGTCAGCTGGAATGATATCACCAAGCTTGATAGTTATGATATCTCCGGGAACGAGGATGGAGGCGTCCTCTTCCTCGTACTTCCCATCTCTTAGAACTTTAGCTTTAAGTGCCAGTGCCTGCATCAAAGCCGCGGCGGCCTGCCCAGCGTTTTGCTCTTCGATATAGCTCACGGTCGAGTTGATGAAGAGAAGAACAACGATTCCTACAAAGTCCTGCCAGTCGGGCGGCCTTCCGTCTCCATTGGCCAGGATGATAGCCATCAAAGCCGCGATCTCCATCACCCAAGACAGTGGATTCCACATAAAAGTGAGGAACTTAAGCAGTAAATTCTCCTTCTTCTCCTCCAACTTGTTGGGACCAACGAGCTTGAGCCTGATCTCAGCTTCCACCGTGCTAAGCCCATCCCTGGTGCACTTAAGCTTCTGGAAAACCTCCTCCAATGGAATGTGCTCCAAATCAGCACTACTGTCCTGTGAGAATTCCCCGCTCGCCCTATTGTCCGCTGTTCTAGTCTCCTCGTCGATGGCGTCATGATAGAACTCGCGGCTCTCGATCCTGGCCATTGGAGATTGCCGCGCTCACATTTTGGAAAACCCTAGCGGCGCATTGCCTACTCCGGAGAAGCCATCGGAAGATCTGAAACGCGTGATCCCTGACTCACCGTCATTGCCGATCGCGCTCCATCGCCATCGCCACCGCCAAGCGAGATTTCATGCCTGACACTAACTGTGACCTGGCAAATCTAGCCCGTTAATTTTGAAACCCAGTCGATCCTAGCCGCGAAGATCGGGACCGTCCGTGGGCAGGGTTCTCTCAATCATCCATTTTAAGAAAAATCTGACGTGGGATTTAGATCTGAACGCTTTTGTACGGCAGACAGTATGACCAGGAACTCAAAACTCGATCGGCGGGTAACTAGAATGCTGTGGCCATTTGGACACGGCCTTCCCGCTTCCCGCCATGTACGGATGGCCCAATCAAAATGACGGGCGATTTGAAATAAATGACGGGGTCTTGACGGTTTCCCATTTTTGATAAAACAAGGAGCGAAGAAAGACGAGGGTTTGCGCAGTGGTGGGAAGAAGTCATTTTAGGGTTGATGGAGCGGCTGTGAGGGCGCTCCAGCGAGCAGCCGCGACGGGGGGCGCGCCGCGCGCGCATTATCGGTGAGGTATGGCGGCCACAGTGGACACGAAAAAGATCGTTCAATTGGGGAAGAGGCTCGGCGAGCTCCAGCTTCCCTCTTCCAAGGATGCGCTGCTCAAGCTTCTCAAGGTGAGTGCTCTTGCTCCGCGCCGGCGGCGGCCTTCTTGCTGGGTTTTAGGTCTAGCGCGGGCGTCGCTCACGAAATTCCGTGCGTCCCTTGCAGCAACTCTCGGCGCTGCTGCCTAATGTCGATCAATCCGCCTCAGAGGAGACGCGGCGGGCTCTGGCTCCTTGCAAGGATGCGCTGGTGAGAGCGGAGCTGCTACATCACAAGGATAAGGAGGTGAAATTGTTTGTGGCGACATGCGCTAGCGAGATTTTGAGAATTGAGGCTCCTGATCTTCCTTACAACGATGATGTCCTTAAGGTATTTGAGGTCTTGTTGTGCCTTGAGAGCTACATATCTCATGTCTTTCCTTTTTTTTTCTTTCCAGGATCTGTTTGAGCTCATTGTCAACACGTTCAAAGGACTCAGTGACATGCAAAGCCCATTATACCAAAAACGGGTACACATACTGGAGACGGTGTCTGCCATCAAGTCCTGTCTGCTATTGCTGGATATTGACAATTGCGACGATGTGATTCTGGATATGTTCAAAACTCTCTTTCAGGAAGCCAGGTTTGTTTTTCTTTCTTTTCTGCGAGGCAAATTTATCGCTCGTTCGCAGGGATGATCATCCGTCTAATATCCTTAGCGCGATGCTGAACATCATGGCTTTGCTCGTGAAGGACAGTGATAACTACCCGAGGCCTTTGGTAATGGAGATTGTTTCAAATCTCGTGAAGAGCAAAAAGGTAAACGACAATTTTCGTTGTTTTATAATTTGAAATTTCTCAAACTTCATGTCTACAGACATCTGCCGCTGCGAGCAAGGTGGCTTCGGAAGTTATTCGAGAAAATGCACAAGAACTGGAGCCTAATGTGATTGGACTGTTGAATACAGTTCATGAGCAATCAGCTGATCCTTGGTTACAACAAAATTA